GTCGGGAGATATGGATAATTGAAGAAAGTCCGTTTCACCACTTCTTCACTCCATATTTTTCCCCTATGCTCCAATCAGTTTATAACATTAGGTTAAAGTTCTCTCCCCTTCCATTCTCAATTTCTGCTCTTGATTGAAAGTTTTGTAGACCTTTCAAATGAAGATTTTCTCGCCTTTGATTCAAGAGCCCGTTTTATCAGAAATTCCGTGAAAACAAAGGCGCGTGACTTTGAACGCATTTATGGGCGCAATGCCTTGAAATGAGCGCCGCGCACTTGAACTAGCGTCGGATTTTTCTCAGTGCACTCCAGGGTGTTCAGCCTCTTTGTCTCTATTCTCCCTGGTCTATCCTCTTTGGAATTNCATTAGATTAAAGTTCTCTCCCCTTCCATTCTCAATTTCTGCTCTTGATTGAAAGTTTTGTAGACCTTTCAAATGAAGATTTTCTCGCCTTTGATTCAAGAGCCCGTTTTATCAGAAATTCCGTGAAAACAAAGGCGCGTGACTTTGAACGCATTTATGGGCGCAATGCCTTGAAATGAGCGCCGCGCACTTGAACTAGCGTCGGATTTTTCTCAGTGCACTCCAGGGTGTTCAGCCTCTTTGTCTCTATTCTCCCTGGTCTATCCTCTTTGGAATTCTCCCTAACTTCTCTACTCTCCAACTTCCCAGCGATCAGCGACAGTGGAGAGAGTGTTCCTTTAAGGCCATCATACACGAGCGAACGGCAGGCGAACGGTTCGCGCGAACAGGGTTTGTCTGCGAACGGTCTCTCGTCTCGAAACTCCACACACGGGACGAACCGAATGCCGTGATATTGATACGTCAATATAGCTGCGTTTTTCATTTTTCAATTATTCTTCCGTTTTTTTTTACTGTTTCATTAAATGTGAAGGTAGGGCAAAACTCAATTTTTCAGTGTATTTATCTTTTACTTAACTTTTTTTCCTTGAGAATTTATACCAAAATAATACGGAAAGAATTGTTAACTACTATGAATCACTTTGCGATTTTGCCCCTCCCTATTTACTTCCACAGTGATGACGTATCGGCATGGGCCTCCTGTCCCTTCAGGTATTGACCCAAAACCATTTCTGTTGATATTGGTGATAGCAGAACAAGTTTCTCCCAATTTTATGAATTTCGCTGGATTTTAACATAATTTTTACCGAATGCGTGATATTTGGGAAATTTTGCGGAGAAACAACGTTGTGAGTTAATATTGGAAAATTTACTCTTATTTCAGTATATTAAAGTATAAACGTAATTTTTACGCCATTTTCATGGTAATTTCTATCAAAATTTTGTCTCCATGTGGGAGGGTTCGTTCCCTACCGATCCATCCGCTTTTCTAGGACCGTTGCATTATTATAACCCGAAATAATTAATTAATTAGACCATTTGGTTCGCGAACGACGTTCGTGATCGTCACACACGGACGAACTTCCAACGAACTTGGTTCGCCACGAACGGCCATTTTCAAGCCGTCTTGAAAACAACGAGCGGCGCACGACGAACGACGAACGACGAACATGGTTCGTGGGCCCCACAAACGGGCGAACTTCGTTCATCGGTGGGTCGATTTCACTATGTTCGCGCGCACTGTTCGTCTGCCGTTCGCTCGTGTATGATGGCCTTTACTCTGAGTACTCCAAACGTGTGTGAGTGATATGTGTGTATCCCTGTGCGCTTGGTGAATATGCAGTAAACAGTCTCTGCTCTCGCACGCAGAGTTGGGCGTTCCAGGCAGTTCTAGAGTTTTTTACATTATACGTAAAATACCCGTATTATACGTCGAAAATGTACAAAATGTAATATACCGTTTTTGACTTATTAGAGATTCCGAATACACGTAAACTACTTGTATAATACGTCAAAAATGTACACACTGTATTAAACTGTATTTTATGTATTTGAATGGCTGCATGGCCCAGAGTATCTGATGACGATCGAATCTCAAGGGTTACAAAAACTAAAAGTTTAACCCTCTGACTCGCAATCCTATCCCCACTACCTATGGAGCCTGAACATTCGATGTGAGAGGGGATGAGTAGTGTGCGCGCGAATAGTGCCGTGGCGCAAAGCGCATGTTTGAATACATGAGTCCCAAATATAAACATTTGTAAAAATAATTTATTGATAGATAGGATGAAACAAGTTTAAGGAAGAAAAGAAGCAATTAGAAATAAGATATCTCATTGCTGTCAATCTCCAAATCATGAATAGGACTTCGATTTTCAACAAATGGTTGCACTGGATCATGCTCAATATTTAAGGTACTTCCGCAGTAAGTATACTTGGTGAAAATTTCAAAATGGTATAAAGACGCAATATTTGGATCATATGTTGTTGACCACATTAAAAAGATATTCCCAAAATTTCAAGTCCCTGGTTCACCCCATTTTTGAGATATGCATCGCCAAACATTCAATTTTTGTGTTTTTTCCATTTTTGACGATGTATATCTCGAAAATGGGGTGGACAAGGTACTTGAAATTTTGGGAATAGTTTTTGAATGTGCTCAACAACATATGATCCAAATATTGCGTCTTTGTACCGTTTCGAAATCTTCACCAAGTATACTTACTGCGGAAGTTCCTTAAAGAGCATTTTCGTTCTAGTTATTCATCAATTTTTTTTTCTTTGCTGAAAAATCATCTGGATTCATTTCACAATTTGAAGGTATCTTCCTTTGTTTCACATATTTACCAGGACTTCCACGTACAGTTTTCAATAAACTTTCATTCTTTTCACTTTTTCCAGGCACTGACTGTTGTTCACTGACATTTTTTAGTTTTTTATCTCTCATTATTTGTTGCCTATCTATCAAAAATTGTATAATATGCAGAGGGCCCCGATAACTTTCCAATACTTACAACGGTACTGACGCAAAAGGAGTGACGGAATAGTCACATGACCATTTCTCGCGCGCTGTGATTGGCGGCCATCATACCGAGACGGTTTCGTACAGTTTGCGAGTCAGAGGGTTAACAGCTAACCGGAAAGACTAAGTAGGTCACAAGAATCAGATGAGTCATCCGGGTCAAAAGATCAGAAGGGACAAAAGAGTCACAAGGGAATAGTCAAACTCCACGAAGGTCAAACACCACGAGGGTCACGAGAGCATGGTCAAATTTCACGAGAGTCAAATGTCACGAGGGTCACAAGGCGATGATTAAATTTCACAAGGATAACGAGGATTATAAGGGGACGATCAAATTTCACAAGGGTCCCGCGGAGACGATCAAATTTCGTAAGAGTCAAACGTCACGAAAGTCAAAGCTCACGAGAGTCACAAGGGGATGGCCAAATTTCATGAGAGTCAAACGCCACGAGTGTCACAAGGGCATCGCCAAATTTTCAACTTTTCAGGGCCCGAAATGATTACGTGGAAAATTCAATAAGCCTGAATACCTAACAATCTTTCTTACAATCAAGAGTCTGAGATTGTTCCATGCAACTTCTAAGGGCCGTTTAAGCATCATATCCTCTTGTGACTCTTGTGACCCTCGCGATGTTTGATCCTCGTCAAATTTGCTTGTTTCCTTGTGACGTTGGACCCTCGTCGAAAATGACCATTGTGTCATTCAACTGACGTAAAATTTAATTATTCCTTTGTGACTCTCGTGACGTTTGACGCTCTTGAAAATTTGACGATCCCCTGGTGATTCTCGTGACATTTGACCGTCGTGAAATTTTATCATCCCCTTGCGACCCTCGCGGAATTTGACCATTGTAACATTCAATCTTCGTAGAAAATGTCCATTGTGACATTCAAAACTTCAATTTTTTCGTTGTGACCCTTGCGGAATTTGACCTTCGTGACATTCGATTCTTGCTCCGTTGATCACGTCAAGTCCAGCCGTTATTACTTCTAACACTTATTAACTTTATTCTAAACACTAATTTTTCATAACGGCCATCGTAGCAAGTATTTTACCTTTTATACATGTAAAAAATTGACGTAAAATACAGAGTATAATACAGATCGTAATGGTTGGGTGAGTGAGGTGTTGCTCCGGCGGACATCCGAGTGCAGCTGCGTTTAGCGCGGTTAGTACTTGGATGGGTAACCGCTTAGGAACACCCTCGCCCAAAAATTTCGGAAGGTAGGCACGGTACAGTGGCCTAATGTGCCCCTCTAGTCAGTGTGGCAGAAGGGCACATTAGGGCTCTGCACAATCGGCCGGCTGTACGACTGGGGTTTTCCATGGTTTCCCTTGCAGTCCTAGCCCAAATGGGGTATAGTTAAAAGTAAGATGGTCCATGGTAACGCAGAAAAAAATCAGAAGAGAGAAGTGGGAGAGGCAAGGCAGACGAATGGGGAGCCTATAAACCTGTAATCGTAGTAGGAAAGAAATATGAATAAAAAATAATAATCCACGGTATAACACGTGTAAAATACTCAATATTTTACGTAAAGTATTTTACTTGCCCAACCCTGCTCGCACGTTTTTCGTACTCCGTGTGTCCCATAACCTCTCACTCTCACTCTACTTGGGCGACACCCTTCTAGCGACAGAATGTGGATGTCCGCAACCGATCATTTCGTGGAATTTGCATCCCCGACGTGGGGAAGTTAGGGAGACTCCACTGTTATTTTGAAAAATTTGTGGACCGATTCCGCAACTTCAATTCTTCTTTGTCTATAAATGGACGTGAGCTAGCATTTATGTAAATACATTCAGATTTAGCGTCCAAAAGTCCATCAATCAGAGTAGGTTTTATCTTGAAGACTAATATCATTCGAAATCTGGTGGAACCTTGTTATTGTTAATATACAATCCGTGACTCGGTTTTATTCAACTCCACTGGTGTATCCAAATTCAGAAATGAATGCAGTGAGTAACCAACGACCTAATACAACTCTCTGTTCTAATTTAGAAAATAATGCAATATATTAAATATGTCAGAGTAAATTTTTACTGCATTTGCATGGAATTACTTCACTATTGAGAGGTGTAAAGAAGAAAGAAAGAGGAAATATTGACAAAACTCACCCTTTTGATCATCATTGTCTCTCTACGATAATCACTGCTGCATTTAGTTTCGGTACCACTATCAATTGAACTATCCTTAGAACCCCCAAGCCCTCCGCCTCCACCATCCGAATCTATGGCGCCGCGGGGAGGCGGGAATGGTATAATCTCATCACTGTCGTACACAGATTTAACTGTAATTCCATCAGCCTGTTGAACTCTTTGGGCCCATCTTCCTTTTGGCATGTCAACACCAAGTGATCTCACAACAGATGTCCCAATAGATTCTTCGTTTGCACTGGTACATGTGTTTATTTGCTTTTTAGCCCACTGTGGCAATTGTCCAACACTGAAGCGATAATCAATAAGAGACTGCATCGTGGAATTAGAATTTGGATCTAAAAAGTCAGGTGTTGGTGGACCAAATGTTTCGTTGTCCAACTGTTCACTATCATTTGGTGTGGGAATTTTCTTCCCAGCTCTAATTGCTTGTTGAGCTAATCGAGCCTGCATTGTCACTACCATATCGTGTGGTACCTTCCAGACAAATATACAGCCGTCACCGCTAGCTGAAATTAAATGTCTACAGTCTGGGCTAAATCTCAGGCCCGTCACTAACTCAGAGTGTCCCAACATTGTTGCCATACATTCACCACTATAATAATCATAAACGCATAAAGTTTTATCCGTACATGATGTTGCAACATAAATCCCGGAGGCATCTAGAACTAACTTAATCAATGATCCGTCTTCTCCAACTGATCCTTTGAATGTTTTATTATGTTTGCCAGTTGCAGCACTGTATACTCTAATATTCCTATCTTGGCAAGCAGTTAAAATATGTTTTTGGCCGGAATCAAGTTCCATATCATAAAGCGTTGTTTTACCTGCAACATTGTGACCTCTTGAGAATTGTGGGGAACCGCCCGGTGTACCTTGCAGTTGGCGAAAAATAATACTTTTATCAGCTCCACATGAAACCATTTGAAGTTTATCGCTTTGATTGAAGAATCTAACAGCAGTGATTGAAGAACTGTGATCATCCAAAGTCTGAAGGAAATCATAGCCTTTATCGACATTGAATACATGGATCAAACGATCTCTTGAGGCACTGGCTAGAAGTCTTGGAAGATCCGAGGGAAATTTCGTATATTTCGAATACTCCAAGCACAACACTTCAGCATCGTGAGCTTCAATCACACAAGTTTCATCCAATGTGGATACATCATGTATTCGAATATTTCCGCAACGATCCCCCGATGCTAAGTGTCTGCCGTCTGGACTAATTCTGATCGATCGCACACCATTGCGTGAATCATACGAAGAATCACTTTTATCTGTTGTACCAGCTGCTGCTAAATCTAAATCTTTGAGATACGTTAATTCAGGATCAACATAAAGCACTTTCAGTAACTCATTGCTGTATATATTACGACTGTACAGTGTATCATCGGGTGGTAAATCTTTTTGGAGATTCCAAATCCTAATTGTATCATCACTTGAACAGGTAACGAAGGAGCCAGGTGGCATAGAATTAATTGATTCATTTCCATTGGGATACACTTCGACTCCCCAGATGCAAGCCGAATGATAAAGAAAAGATTGAGACTTTCCCACTCTGCGAATATCACGTATATCCCAGACATAAATGCTGTGATCATTATAGACACAGGTTAATTTATTATTTTGTTCATCGAAGGCGAGTGCTACTGCATCGGGATATCGTGCATTTGATGGATGTTGTGACATATGATCTATTGACAGTCCCTGAGCAACATCTACACCAAGATAGTGAGTTCTTGGTAATGTTGTTATAAACTGAAGTGTTGTTGGAGAAAAACATCTTATTATGGCCTCAGCACAGCCAATAAATATAAACTTTTCACCCACTGCTATGCAATTGGCACTTGATGTTCTTAATTCTACCCACTTGTCTAATAATCTCCGATTATTAAATTCACACAATAGGCCTGTTTTAGTTATTGCGTAGGTTGAATCCGCCATTTCACCACAACCGCAAGCAACATCCACGAAATCATTGTTACGTTGTTCACCCAGTATTGCAGATCTACCCATAAGAGGTACTGGCTCTTGATATTTTGCATTCCGGCAGTACTCCAGATACCAAAATTTAACATGTCGGTTACCAACAGTCACAAAGTAATTGCCGCTTTCCGCGAATGATACAGCCTTCACCTTACTAGAGACTTTGTTTGATGCGACCTTTACATTATTCCGCCAGTCCCAGACATTTACAATCATGTCGTGTTGAGAACCAACGGACACAACGTATTTGTTGCTTGGTGAAAATGCCTAGAAAATAAAGGAAAAAAATTCCGTTGTATTTCGACTATATTGAATGCTATTAATAATTATATTAATGTGAAATAATGCATCAAATTTTCGTGGTTTTATATTCAATCCACTTATTTCTCCGGATATTTTGGAGTCAATAAACTCTTAAGTAGAAAACCATTCGCCTTCGTTACTATCTACGGAGAACAACACTCGTATTATTCCACTAATTTCAACTTAAATACGAAAAAGTAGTTCTTGAACTGCCGAAAATAGAAGATTTTACAGGGTGACAATTACGAAGTTGCCTAAACTCATCGTTTATAACTTTGACACGAGTGCCAGGAAAAAAAAGTAAAATACATATGAATTGAATAAAGATGTCATTTTTATTTGGAATTATAGTTTTAGTTGAATCAGACATTTCTCATAGATACTTATTGAGATTTGAAAAAAATTGACAAATTGAGCCAGGAGATAACTATTAATGGAAAATATTTTCGAAGTGATTTTCAATCGAATTTGCACAATAATCAAGCCGTTTTCGGAAACTATGAAAAACTTGTTCAATCTAAGATGGAGAAATACCAGAAATTCCGTCTCTGATGACTTTTTTCAAATCATCTTTGATCTGGAGTTTTTCCGCATAAACATTATCTTTCAGGAAGCCCCATAAGAAGAAGTCACACGGGTTCAAATCGGGTGAATAAGGGGGCCATTCCATAGCTCCATACGCAAACTTGGGGTAACCTAATCCGATGACGCGATCACAATACACTTCATAAATAGCTTCAAATACGTCCTTAGTTCTGTGCGGTGTAGCACCATCTTGCATAAAGTAATAGTTCTTAACCAATCCTCTTCTTTTAGCCAAAGGGAAAAATTTAGTTTGTAGCATTTCTCGATAACTATTGCCTGTAATGGTCCCTTCTATGAATTCCAAGTGTATTATTTTGATTGAAATAGCTGCCCAAACAGTCACTTTAACAGGGTGTAAAGACTTTGCCTCAGATAAGTGTGGATTTTCGCGACCCCAAAAATGGTAATTTTGTTTACTTACATATCCATTTAAATGGAGCTTCATCTGTGAAGATTATGTGATTGATGTCGATCTCATCATTTTCAAATTTCTGTGTCATAATTTTACAAAACTTAATTCTTTTGTTTTTGGAATCTTCTGTCAGCAACTGATGGGTCGTAAATTTGTAAGGGTGTAACTTGAAGAAATTCTTAAATATTAATCTCAGTGTCTCTTGGTTCAGTTTCAAAGTTGCCGCTGCTTTTCATATCGAATCCGTTGGATTATTCTTGAAATTTTCTTCGATCTTGGCAATCGTATCTTCTGTTATAACTGAGTGTGATAGACCAGGAAGATCATGACGACGGTCCTCAAGAGTATAATACTTGATAAAATTATCAATTACTCTGGGAGAGAAAGTAATAAATACTTGAAGGTTTTAGTCAAAAGTGAGGTTATACGATGAAGCCAGATAAATTTTTTTTTTATTCTCATCTTCTGAGGGTGGTTTGACTGGCTACTTTTTTACTTCCAAATTTGGTACGAAAGCCTCTATATGCTTCAGTATAGTTTTTACCTCTAGTATAACAGCACTCGATAAGGTATACTTTTTCTTCGTTTGAAAGGTTACTCATTTTGAAGTACACGTAGTGCTTCTTGTAGCGTCTCAATAGAAATTGACAACACTCTAGTATATATCTAATGAACCTAACCTTCTGCATCTCAGTAGGAAGGGAAGACATGTGAGTATACTTTAGGTAACTACCCATTTGTCACCCTGTACATGACAACACACATCAGAAAAAAATGGTAAGCCATGGGAATACTTACGACACAATTTATTCCATATTTGTGACTGGGAAACTCGGCAATTTGAATGGCATTCTGAGGATCTGATATGTCCCATACACGGACGTTGGGTGTATGACCACATTCACCCGTAGCCAACAGTCGACCATCTCCGGATAGCGCGAGGGATGTTACCGTTTTTCTACAGCCATTCAGAACGTGCGTTTGCGTATTCTTTCGGGGGTTGAATAGAATAACAGTACATCTGAAATTTAACGAAGAATCGGCATATTGGTATCATTATTTTTTCTTGTAAGGAGCTGAAGATAGCTTCCATTAAACTGTGTCTAAATAGCGTTCGTGAGTTGCTTGCGTGAGTAATTTGCAACGTTTCACAAATTATTATGGAAACTATTGTTCTTCACTCATCGTAGCAAATTTTTTCACCTCACATGAGACTTGTACTTGCTGTTGACAAGTGCTACAAACCTCAAACTAAACAAAAAATTGTTACAAACTTATATGGAAAAACGCTTTTTCATAGTAGTAATTTTTCGTCTCTAAGTGATACATTACGATCGAATTAACAAGAATTAGGCCAGTCAAATAAGGACTTTTTTTTGGCAGAAATCAAGGATGATAGAAGACGGATAAAAACCCCAGCATATGATGCGGAGAAATAATATGAAATACGTATTCTAAGTTTTTGGGATTCTAGCGGACCGGGAAATAGTTTAAAAAAATTAAAAACTGCAAAATTAAGCATCCGCGCGACCGTTTCCGTTTTACGTTAACGAAACCTTGATAGGATAAAAATCCATGAGACATGATTTGTAGAGCATTAAATTTCCTACAAAGAAGTCAGTGGCGGCGTATTTATAATTTCAACCGTTCACCCCTCACGTACGGGCTCCATACCATGTATGGACCCCGGCCGATAGGACAAGTTCATGCCTCCATACATCGTATGGAGCCACGACCGGAGGTTAGGCGGTGTTTGGGGTGAATTTGAGAGTGAATTTCTGTGGTTCCCGGTAGCTTAGTCGGTAAGAGTGCCCGGCGCGTATCTGGGAGAACCGGGTTCGATTCCCGGCTGGGTGAAGCGGAAATTTTTTCTCTCTAAATTCCAATTCTCTTAGAATTTAGAGAAAACTTGGACCCCGGCCGATAGGAGAAGTTCGTGCCTCCATACATCGTATGGACCCTTTCCGTCAACAGTAAAAAATTATTTTCTCGAATTCTAAGACACATATTGACATTTGGAAAAAAAAATTGGAAAGTCAATAAAATTGTGTGTGCAGTGAGTCCATTGATTCTTTTTTCTCAATGCATTTTTTATTTATTTTTTTATATCAATAAAAGTCGTGGATGAAAATACGATTTTGCTCCGATTTAATCATATTCAATCATCTCGTTTGTCGAGAAAATTTTACAGAAAAATTTTGGAATTATTGCTGAAAATACTTTGATGACCTTCCTATCGAATGGCACAAGTTAAATTTCAATTCATTGAATAATGTATTTGTTATAAATAAATTCAGCGAATTTGGAGATCTCGGCGAAAAATTGTCCTGGAGGATAAATCGGTGTGACTTGAATGCAGAAAATACAGAATTCTCAGGGCGTTCATTTCAAATTTCAATTCATCCAATGCATTTTATTTCAAGTTTTCTCGATCACCTGTTTTCGAGTTATTGCTGATTAAACAATGGAATTGGCGCGTCGTCGTAAGCCTCCCAGCCGTTGGGACAAGACGCGTTCTAGGAACCCCGTACGTGAGGGGTTAAGCCGCCAAGCGGCCTCAAAGTTGAATCACGGAAAAGATGATCCTCCGCCAACACCGAGAAGTCAATTTTATTTACAAAATGGAAACGATGTATGAAAATGTGGATTGAAAAATGTGAAAAAAATCAGGAAGAATCTTGACCCTTCCCAGAATGTCTCCAAGAGAGGAATTTTTTGAGAAATCATTTTTAGATTTTTGAGCCATCTTCATTTTTTTCTTTTTTTTCATTTTTCAAGAACAAATTCAAATCATATAACTTTTGATTCCGTTATCGGATTGGAATGAAAGAAATCACTGATTTTTTTTTCGTTCGCTGCTCTTTATTTTCTCTCTTTTGACTTTTTCACTGAATTTGTATATTTAACTATTCATTTGTTGTTAAACTAAACAAGCAGGGGTTCGAGCCCATCCGACAGAAGTCATGTGACCGTTACTTTTTGCGTTATTAGTCCTTTTCTTTGTTTTATTTCTACTAATTGCATTGGTAGTAAGCTTCCGAATGGATCCGTAGCAATTCCCAGTCCTTGTGACAGGTATACAACCGTAACCACATGCTACAGGATGTCTACAGGAAGATATTCAACCTTTTAATGAAATAGATTTGTACAAAATGTTAAATATCTCCGAAACTGCTCGGCCGATTGCGCCTATCCAAAATACGAATCTTCAATATTGTAAGAGCCTTAATCACACCAAATTTCAACTTACTATTTTCATTTTTCCTCAAAATATCGTGCGTACAAGAATGAAAAATTTTTAAAAACGAAAAAACGGGAATATCTCTGATTTTTTGTATGGACGGCTATACATATTTTAATAGGTCAAGATGGTAGCTACCGAGACAAGTATTTTGAAAAAAAAAATTGAAATCCGTCCAGTAGTTCATAAGAAAATTGAAGACATATATTTACACAAAAGGTTGAATAACTCAAGAACCGCTCAGCCAATTACCCCCATCCACAATACTAACCTTTTATGTTATGAAAACTTGAAGCATACAAAATTTCAACTCTCTATCTCCATTTTTTATCAAGTTATCGTGTAAACAAGATTTTGCATAAAAAAACGGAAAAACAGCAATATCTTCAAATTTTGTCTGAACGAGTATATATATTTTGATTGATCTAGATAGAGGCCACCAAGATGAGTATTTTGAAAACAGAAATATTGAAATCGGTGCAGTAGATTTTGAGATATTGAGGGAAAACGAAATTTAAAGAAGTTGTTATATCTCAGGAACTACTGGACCGATCGGGCTGAAACTGCGTACGAAAGTGAAGCTTAATCATAGCTACCATGAGCCAAAATTTCAGACTTTTATCGACAAATTTCACCGTATTTATAATATGTTGAATTTTCTAAAAAATGATCACCAAAAACCGAAGTTATCACACACATGCATACAGACATGACCCTAAAAACATCAATTCTTCACGTTTCATAACATTCTAGACCATTTACCATCAAAATTAGAAAATCGAAAAATCGCTCAAATACAAGGCTTTCATTCGGAAGCAAAAAGGGATAAATAAATGGCAAAAAAAGATTTAGAAAAGGATAGGAATAATAAAAGAAAAGGAAGGATATTACAAAAAAGCAAAAAACAAAGATAAGAAAGGGTTGAAAAAGGGATAAATAAATGATCAAAAAAGATTTCAAAAAAGATATGAAAAATGTAAAAAAAGAACACAGACATTACAAAACAAGACGAATATTCTTGAATAATTGAAATTAGGATCGGTTGACTGTTTATTGAGATATTTAAAAAATTAGATTTACATATAAAGTTGAATATCTCAGAAAGTAATTATCCGATTGAGCCCATTTTCAATACGAACCATTGTTATTACTAGAGACAACCTCATGTCAAATTTCAAGTTGATATCTCCATTTCTGCAGATGCTCTAGTGCGAACAACGCTTTAAAGTCCAAACGACAAAAATTGAAATATCTCTAAATTTTCGCGGCAAGCGGCCGCGACCTTGATGCCCTTTTATAATGCCTTTTCTTGTGTTTTTCCTTGTGAGTTCTTCACAAATTAATTATTCATCGTCGTCTTATTATACTGAGTGTGAAGATTAATGGAAACAATGCTTCACGGTTCAACACCTCTTCAATTGCAATAAGTAATTCACTAACTCTGTATTNTAAGAAAGGGTTGAAAAAGGGATAAATAAATGATCAAAAAAGATTTCAAAAAAGATATGAAAAATGTAAAAAAAGAACACAGACATTACAAAACAAGACGAATATTCTTGAATAATTGAAATTAGGATCGGTTGACTGTTTATTGAGATATTTAAAAAATTAGATTTACATATAAAGTTGAATATCTCAGAAAGTAATTATCCGATTGAGCCCATTTTCAATACGAACCATTGTTATTACTAGAGACAACCTCATGTCAAATTTCAAGTTGATATCTCCATTTCTGCAGATGCTCTAGTGCGAACAACGCTTTAAAGTCCAAACGACAAAAATTGAAATATCTCTAAATTTTCGCGGCAAGCGGCCGCGACCTTGATGCCCTTTTATAATGCCTTTTCTTGTGTTTTTCCTTGTGAGTTCTTCACAAATTAATTATTCATCGTCGTCTTATTATACTGAGTGTGAAGATTAATGGAAACAATGCTTCACGGTTCAACACCTCTTCAATTGCAATAAGTAATTCACTAACTCTGTATTCACTGAATGAGCTTCTAACTATAATCATAATCGAAGTCCCATTCAGAGTGCAAAACAGCAATTATTAAATGTCTCAAACCGCCGAACTTTTTAGTCTTCGCCACCCTCTTGATTCCACTTTATTTCTTCACAAAAGCAATCGATAAATTTGTTGGAAAAATTATATGATTGATTCTGATGCTTTTTTGCTAATTCAGAGTATCTTCTCCTCATTCATGATCTTTCTCACAATTTTATTCGACGATGCAATTTTTTCAAATTCTCCATAAAATCCCGAAATGCTTGTGCATTTTATTTAAACTTCGAAATTTTTGGGACATTGTTGAGAAAATCGAAGAAATTTCACATTCAATATTTTTTTTTTCAATTGATTGTTCATAATCATTTCCATGGCAAAAAGCAGTCTTGNTTTTTAAAAACGAAAAAACGGGAATATCTCTGATTTTTTGTATGGACGGCTATACATATTTTAATAGGTCAAGATGGTAGCTACCGAGACAAGTATTTTGAAAAAAAAAATTGAAATCCGTCCAGTAGTTCATAAGAAAATTGAAGACATATATTTACACAAAAGGTTGAATAACTCAAGAACCGCTCAGCCAATTACCCCCATCCACAATACTAACCTTTTATGTTATGAAAACTTGAAGCATACAAAATTTCAACTCTCTATCTCCATTTTTTATCAAGTTATCGTGTAAACAAGATTTTGCATAAAAAAACGGAAAAACAGCAATATCTTCAAATTTTGTCTGAACGAGTATATATATTTTGATTGATCTAGATAGAGGCCA